AATATTCAAAGAAATAGCAGTGTTTGTTTTAATATTACATTTTAAGAAGGAGAATCGTTTCTCGTATAAGTTAAGTAAGTACAGCTGTAGACTGATAGAAAAATTAACAAGCTCATACTGCTTTCTAGTTCTTTAAATCTCGTACTTTCCTCTATCTCTCTGCTTCATCAGCTCTTCATCTCTTTTTAAAGTCTCACTGGAAAACTAATTTCCCCCTTGCCTTTACTGCTTGGTTATTTTCTCTCTTTTATTTATTAATTCAACTCTAAATAATACTGGAATGGAGGAAAAGTCATATCTGACATCCTACATATCCTGTCCACTCACTGTCATATGGAGGTGTGTTAAAATTTTTATGTAAAAACTGCCTGTGCGTTGCAAATTGAGTCTGCCAACAAATTGAAGTATTTTGTCAAAGGGATTTGGCTTTAGTGTAAATTTCATCAAAAGACAAGAAAGCGAAGAAACATCAGCCAGCCCCTCCATCCTACACCCTGCTCCAAAAGATATTTTCTATTTGGAGATGTCACTGCAATGCCTTGGGATATTGCTTGGGTACATCCTATTAAAAGCTCTTCTCTATAGACTGACTTCCTCAGCTAATAATACATTATCTTGTGTGTAACAGAAAATATAATCCAGCTGGTGTATTTGGGCCATATGGGAGAACTTAAACTTAATACAGCTGCTGATATGTATACAGCTTGGTGTGCTTAATGCAGCTTTCAGGGAGCATTAATTTTTGATGATTAACTTTAAGGGTTTGGGTGGAAAAGGGGAGGAATAAGCATTTTCCAATTCAACTGCATAACCTGAAGTGCAGCTGGTATGGTTTATATCTACTGCGTACTGTGTTTCTTTTCCCGTGAGGGAATTCCTGCAGAAGGACTCAGCTTCATTACAAGGCTGTAACAAGGCCGTATCTTATCCCACTCCTCCATTTGACTCGAACACGGGACCTTTTTGGTGAGAGGTAGATTACGATGCTCTGGAATCTTTCAAAAAGTAAAAGCTTTGGTCAGTGTCTGAGTAATAGTTTTAAAGTGTAAAAGAAGAGTTGATTACTATTAGCAAAGAAACTGAGATTATATTGATACCTGGAGTTTGATTTTTAAAGGGAAAGACAATACTGCCTATGAGAGATTTTTTTTCTTTTAAAAGTACTGGGCTGTTTGTAGAAGATATTAAAGGATTATAAAATAGAATGGATAGATAACAAATTGCAGAATAGGGTAGACATCCTGTATCAACAGAGATAATTTGCAAATATTTAGTATCTATGAAGACTACAAAGAAGGTCTACGAAGAAATGCTTTTCAGAATACATCTTCGATCTCTAAGGTCAAACATTTAACAGAGTTTTTCTGTGTTGCTGTAAAGACTCACTTATCGTCTAAGGTGACAAATGTTGCTAACTGTATAGTTTTCAGAATGATTCATAATCTAGCAGAAATAAGAGATTTCAAATACTAGGCCTCAACATACAGTATTATTTCAGGATCATGATATTCTCTCTCTGGTTATATCACATAACTATTCAAGCAATGGAAAACCTTTTCTCTTTACTGTGACAAAACCTCACAGCATCTTGGACTGAATGTCTAGGAAATTTTGTTCTCACAGGCCAAGTCAGCTCTCTAATTATGTCCTAGGTCAGCTTATGTTCACTGCATTTTTGGCTGAAAAGCTGCAGAACAAAGTGACCTCTTGTCAGCCAACCACATAAATATGTAAGAGTGTATTCCTAAATAAGAAACTAAAAATCTGTACGATGTATATAGAATTGGCTCACAAAAAAAGTTTTGTTATTTTCTCAAGATTTTCATTTTTAGAGACAGACTGAAAGCCAAACAATATTTTGTAAGTTATGATTCTGAGTATTTTACAGCAATTCACTTAAGAAATGAAGGTCATATGAAAGGTGCTTTAAAGCTGACAAATTACTGAGCTGCTTTAGTGTATTTTTAAATTAATGTATGTGTTCCATACTTGTAGCTTATTGATAGCCTTGTGTAACTTTCCTTCTCTATTTATTTCTTTATTATTTGGTAGAGTCTTTCTCAGAAGATGTGAATATTTTTCACAGAGAGGGCTTGATCTTTCAATAGTTCTCTGTGTGCAATTTGTATTGCACAAGAGTGCAAATGTAAGTTTCTTGTATATTTAGCACAGTCTAGCCTCCTTCCTTGTTCTGGATATGCATGCAAAGATGCGTCTCTATGTTCTGGGTTCACCGTCACTGATTTGTCTTACTTACAAAATTGTTGGAAACTGCCCCATTTTGTGGAGTGCTCATGGTAGTTTATTAGACAGCTTCTTGATTTCTGTAAGTTTACATGTCTTTTGTGAAACCTTGCGAGTACATGACAGGATACGACTTCCATCTATGAGCTGCAGAATTCCTACTGGTTATAATTAAAAGCAAGCATGCTTCCCTAGCATGCTCCCCAATGTCATCTTGATAATTTTGCAAATGTCAACAAGGTATCTTATAAGAAATAGCAGTTCATACTTGTGAAATTTTACAATCCTGCAGAGTTCTTCAGAATTTCACAAAGTTAAGAAACTGATACAATCTATTGAAACTGGGTTTAGTGTTTGTATTTGATGGAGACATTCCATTTCTTGTATTGCATATAAGAACAAAGCCTCTTTTCTTTTTTAAACACAAATGACAGGTAAAAAAGGATAAGGATAGGACTGCAAAAGCTGTTCTATTTTACTAATTAGTGTGTTTATTAGTACCTAAGGATACAGTTTTCTGCATTTTTATTGACTACTTAAGACATTAACAAAATTTCTGAGGTTTTCATACTCGACTCGTTCTTGAACTGTAGCTGAAGTTTTTACTCTCCAGTAGAGGGATGTCTTTATGGTAAATTCATACTAAATCCAGTAGACAATTATTTCACTTTTATCACATTTCTTGTGGGTATGCAACACCATCCCTATTTTGTCACTGCTGCTGAAAATATAAATGCTGTTATTTCCCTCTTGAGGGTTACTGGGAAGCCTGAAAGATTAGTTTCACTACCCCTGACACCCTGGTTTTTTTTCACTATACAAATCCCATTTGCATTTGGCCACTATACTTAAGCAGTATTAAAGCTATAATGTACATTTCTTCAGCACTACATAAATATAATCTAATTTAATACTGCAAATCAGCAGACTGACTTCCAGTACTAATTTATTCATCTGTCTGCTCTAGAATCTGGTCTCCAAGCGATTTCTTCAAAATCTGTCGCATACCTATTCCTCTGCTCAAATAAGTGGTCTTCTTACTGCTATTGCTGGCTTGTTTGTCTTTCGTTCTGCCTATTACATTGCATCGCTACAGAGCATGCCTGTTCTAACTTACTAACAAAAGGTGTATTCAAGAGCTACGCATTTAGTTCAGTTAGTGACTGAGGGAGAAAATAACCCCTGTGCAACAGTACTCAAAGATGCCAGCAGTTCATTTATCTCCCCACACCTAAGAGGGAAGAGAAGTTTATCGTTAAAAAATACTCCTTATGCATTATAAAAGGTGAAAACAGAAAATGGTTCTTTTTTGGTACGAACGGCTAGGAGCGGTTTAAACTCTCTATATAACAAAGGGCTGTGAAGCCTGTGTATCTAGTCTTGCTGCACAACGGACAAGTCTAAGCAATATGTAGACCTCTAAAGAGAGCTATTTGCCATGTCACTCAGTATTGACAGATATTGGCAGATAATCAATTGATAAAAGTTTTTTATAAATACAAGCTTTCTAATTTAACATCCATATGAATGGCTTTGAATATTTGAAATTGTTCCTATTCAAGTGAATAAAATCTCACTATTTCTCTTGTTTAATTCACCTGGTTATTATTTTAATATCAACAAACAAAACAAGGGCAGTGCAAGTCATAATGTGGCTTACTATGGTAATGGATCAAAACCTGAAGGACTTCCAGCAGTGTAGGAAAGTAAGGTTTCCTTGCTTTGGCTACCAAATATTCTAAGCAATCTGCCTTCTCCCTCTAGCTGTGCTATTTAAGTTGTTTGGATTTTTTCCCAGTTTACCTTTTTTTTTCTGCATCATTAAAGCTGCATAATCTCAATAGAAGAGTGCAGCCAAGGACGAAAATTCTCAGATATTTACAGAGCCTAACATCCCTAAATCTTTCTTTCATGACTTGGCTTATATTTCTGTTCTTTGTAGTCTTCTCATGTATCCATTAGTTCCATTGTGACTTTCAGATGGGAACAGAGAAATAGCAAGAACTGACTTAGCAGGCGACTGTTTAAGGTACGGACAACAAAAAAATCCTGCCTATGTCTCCAGGAATGAAGGCACTGATTAGCACTAAATTTTACACTGCAAGTGCAAGGCCCTGTAGCCAACTGGAAATGACGAATGCTTTTGTGCTTTGGGAGAAGCAAGCTTCAAATTGTGCTTTCACAAGATGTGCTGTGCGTGCACCTTACACATTTACTTGTAATGCATGTTATTGCCCACTTTTGTGTGAAATCACGTAATTTTGACAGCATGCCAGAAATTTGACATAACGCCATGCAGTTTCTCTCTCTTGTAACCTTTCGTAACCCTCTAAACAAGGCTGGTGCACTCTCATTTAAGCATGGATTATTGCCACATAATGTTGCAAAATTAAAACACATTGACATTCACCTTAATCGTATTGTTTCAGTGTCACTCTAATGTAAAGTTTTACAGTCCATAAATCAAAATATATTCAAGCATATGATCAATTTATTCATGTTCTTAAATGTAGTTACTACAAGACAGGTATATCTACTGCCTGCCTGCTGCTTTACTTGCTTTTGATGTGAAACAAGACAGTCATTAACAAGTCAGAAGTAAAACAACAAAAAATCAGTACAAAATAAAACGTCTACTTATATAGCATTGTATGTGGGATCAAGTGAAAAGCCTAAAGTTTTTTTTTAATATTAAAAATACAAAACATATTGCTCTTCAGGATCTGAGTTTGGGTGATGCTGTAAGTGAGACCTACTTTCTCATAGTACTTGATCTCGTAGTCCAGAATGGCTCCAGGGGGAAAGTCCGGCTCTTGCCAGGAGAGGGCAATGCTGTTTTGGGAAGCCCAGTCCTTCCTTACCATACCTATCAAGGAGGGTGCTGAAAGGGAAAAGGATAACTAAGGGTTAAAGACGAAGCACACCGTTTATCCTTTCAACCTACTGTCTTAGGATACCAACCCGAGGTAACTTTGTATGACCTCCAGGCAGAAAAGCATGACAGATGGCAATTCTCAGGGAAACCATATAACCTGGAATTAATGTCTCAAGTACATACCAGTAACTCCTTTGTTAAAGTGCAGACCAGCTTCTGAAAAATGGCTATATACAAAAACATAGAAAGAAGCACCTGTGCTGGTGCCCACCACTGGCTGCGCGCAACCAAGTTGCGCTGCTGGCTCCGAGGACATCGCGTCCAGAGCAGAACCGTGTTTCAGAGACAGTAAATTCTACATTCACGATAATCTGCATTAAATGTCATAATTCAACTGTGTAAAATGTACATTCAGTTTACTCTTTGGGGTAAAATAAAGTGACACAGCTTAAAACAGAGGCAATGAATCCTGTTTCTGCTAGCTGGGCTGGCAGCAGTAAGGGCATTTTAGCCCATCAGCGAGGTAGCTATGTGCACAGAAGAGCCAGCTTGTTAGAGGAGGCCAGTGGCAGGGATTGGGTTACGGGCAAACCGTTGGGGCAAAGGTGCTCCCAAACCTACCTGCTGTAATTGATACTGCAGGTCTGCAGCAGAACAGTGAGTAGGAACCACTTCCAGCAGCTTTTGGAAGGGGCCCAACATGGGTGGATGCACCCAAGAGCCAAATTATCTCACTATGGGGTTAACCAGTTTTAAGAATTGGGTTTTCTGCCCTTTTGGAAGAGAAGGTGCACTGTTATCTATGCAATAATTTCAAATGGTGCAAAAATCGCATTCTAGAAAACGATCTTTGCTTATTTTATTAATCTGGTCAAGCATGTCAAAGGAGGTGTAATATTCTCCAGACACTAATGCTGTTTTAATAGTATTGATGTGCAGCTTTCCCAAATGTTACAACAAAACCAGTCACGTTGTTCAACAGTCTTGAAGACAACTGAGTAAGCTGAACAAACCAGCTACCATAAAAAAAAAAATTCTTCCAGTGGTTCACAGCTTTCGCTATTTGTCTTTCCACCACCAAATATCTGTTTATTACACACCCTCCCCCATTCCTCTCTATTATGAATCTTACTTAACCTCTTCTAAGCTACCAAGGAGCTGTCTCCTAAAAATAACATGTTTTTATGACTTCCACTTTTATCTTTTGAATGAAAGAGTCTCCCTAGGAAAATGAAATAAGAATCTGCTTCTAGTCACAAAATTTCATGCCTTAGTTTTCTTTCCTGTAAGTATTTCAGGAAGTTTAAGAAATGAAAACAATAAATAAATTCTAGAATGCAAACAAAGAGTAAACAACAAAGGTCATTTTCCTTTGAAAAAAGGGAAACTCTACACACAGACATGCACATAACAATCTCTTTCTCTGTGACAGTGCATTTATTCGAGAGAGAGAAAATAAACTTCCATCCACCGTCAATCTTCCCTTATGGATAACTATTCTGTGGTATAATAGTCCAGTCCTCTCTGATGTGAAAAAACCCAACTCAACATGTAACACTAAATGAAAAAACCCTACCAAAAGTATTAAGTGGACAAAACAGAGCTTACACAGGAAACTGTCCTACACCTGAACTTACGCCATTTTAACCACAGGTCTGATGCAAGGGAATGAGAGAAAAAAAACGAATTCCTGTCATGCTGAATAAAGGATTAACCTATTTTTCAGGAAGTCCTTAAACAGCATAATGTAAGTAACTGAGTAGAACAAAATACAAATAAATAAAAAGCAGTTATAGGTTCAGGGCCAAAATGTTATCCCTGGATATGTATAACTACTCACTCAGTTAAAATGAAATTTTTACTCTTGAAATTGAGGGTGAAGCTGAGCTCTCGCAATATTTCTCTGGGGTAAAATCAGCTACTCCAAGCAGGGAACAAAGATAGGTCTGTTTAAAGGAAAACAGGAGCTAGCAAACATGGATTTGTATTTGCTAAACACTGATCATGGGCCTATGAGGGCAATTGCTCATATACATTTGTTTACCATTTGCTGGGTTTGAGTCATTCACTGGTATTGAGCTGTCATTTACGGGTGGGTCTGAGGGAGCTATAGCAACCTTTCGGACACATCCGATACACCCTGTGCGCCTGCTCACGGGTGAGGGACATCGTCTGGGCCACTTTCCCTGGCACATCATGGCTTCATCTCATTGCATTTGGGGGTTCACTGGTCAGACAACCAAATCCTCGCAAAATGATCGAGCTTGATCACAGAAAACACCAGGTTAAACTGTGGATATAATTATATTCTTGGCCCTTCTAGGCTTTTTAAATGTAGATTACTACAATTAGACTTCTTCAAATTATGACCTAACCTTTATAAGCTTTTCATATATACCACATGTGGTGCATTTTTCTTTGGGTTCCGATTTCCAAATTTACACAGTAATTTATGCGTGTTTTCAGCCTGAGCTTACTACAGCAACTCTTCCATTTGAGCAAGCCCATGTCAAAACACAGTCCTGGCACAACACAAGATCATCTCAAATGTTCAGTATGAGAAGTAGCCTATGTCTTCTCCCTGGGAAACAACTTGGCAGCGAAATAATGGAAGAAAATTACTTCAGCCCTCTCCTAAGCCAGCTGTGCTTGATCTGCACTTGAAACTGAAACCCCCATACAGCAAGGCTCACATCACACCTGTAGCACTGTGCCAGCACTGCATCTTCTAAATCAAAATGCGAAGGTGTGTACATAAGGCTGTGAATATGAGAAGCGTATTTGTGTTTGTATTAGGGTACTGGGCAAAAAAAAAGTGTACTTTTAAACAAAAAGTCACAAAGGAGTCATCATTAGCCATTTCTTGTACGTTCAGGATGATGATCCTCCTATTTGTCATACAGAGGTTACCTATTCACATCTCAGAGGAAATAATGACTTTTAGGAAAAAGATTCCAGTCAGAAATTTATTGTACAGAGACAGAGACAAATAAACCCAAGTAATTAAAAGCTGCAGCTAGCTCAGTTTCTATTTCATAGAATCATAGAATCATAGAATCATTAAGGTTGGAAGAGACCTCCAAGATCATCGAGTCCAACCATCAACCCAACACCACCATGCCCACTAAACCATGTCCCTAAGCGCCTCATCTACCCGTCTTTTAAATACTTCCAGGGATGGGGACTCAACCACTTCCCTGGGCAGCCTGTTCCAATGTTTAACTACTCTTTCAGTAAAGACATTTTTCCTTACATCCAATCTAAACCTCCCCTGGCGCAACTTGAGGCCATTTCCTCTCGTCCTTTCGCCAGTTACTTGGGAGAAGAGACCGACACCCACCTCGCTACAACCTCCTTTCAGTTGTTGTTAAGTGCTACTAAAAGCAATACTTTCTACAGAGAAATTTCAGCTTCTTATAACAGTTGCTCACTAGAGCAGAAGTTATTTAGACCCTAAAGATCCTATCCATTTATTGTTAAAGCTCTTTTTAACCGCAAAACTGTAAAATAGGTAAATCCTATTTGCCCATTTATAAAGACTGCCCTAATGTTCCTATGATGAATCAATGGGAAGTTCTTTTAATTAGTTGTTTCAAATCCAGTAGCTGCAGGAGAGCTCTAATTTGGTTACCCAATGAAACCATTTGAAAAAAAAAAATGCTTAGAAGCGCAGCATGGCTTTTAATCACTTTAATGGCAGCATTTTCTTGCCATTGGTACTAGGCTGAAGGATGGTGTCTGGCTCTTGAGCTCAGTGCTGATCTCTGTTTTGTACTGAGGATTCTTTGCACCATCTGGTCTCTCTGTTTTCCTCTACACTGTTATAAATTTCTTGAATTGCGATGAGTCATCTACAATGCTGTGAGCTCCTAATTTAATTTAGTCTGATAAGTTTGTCTTTCAAATTTTTGTTGAATAATGAAAGTTCATTCCTTAATTCAGCGTGAGCATATTTTATTCTAAATCTCTTTGGCTTCTCTTTTTCAGAATTCCTTTCTTATACACTACACAAAGGGCAGAATTCCAGTGTCATTTCTCTACAGACTTTCTCTTCTGCTGAAGTTGACTTCCATTATCTGTAACTGATTTCAAAATAGGTGATCTGTAGGGTTTCTGAAGCTTTTTTCCTTTAGTCCATTTTCTAATTTTCCAGTTTCTTGTTTCATACTGTTTAAAGTAGGCAAAGAATTTCCAGCATTTCTCCCCTGGTCTCCAGGGTTGAACAACTTTGATAGGGTGCCCATTCACTATGAAGAGGCTTCAGACTCAATGGCAGCTGATGACAAAAGCTCACCTGATGTCTGTCTGTACATGAAGCACTCTACCCCTCTGGTATCTCATTTCAAATCTTATTTCTTTGGTGAAGAGAGACCATGACAGCTCAATGGCCTTTTACTGGCTGGCAGAACAGGCCCTACCAGGCACACACAATCACTTTCTTGTTAAAAAAAACTACCATTCAACAAACAAGAACAGCTACATCATCATTGTTCTCTTCCCTCCCTCCCCCCTGCATTGTGTCTGTTTTGGCCAAGGCCAATGAATTGCTGGCAGATAGAAATTTGGAGGGGAGGGAGTGGAAGGGTGATCTGAACTGTACACACGTTGTGTTGAGGACTGCAACCTTACTCCTTTGGACACCATCATCATGAGAAGGCTGTGAGTCTCAATGTATAAAATACTGCCATTTGGGATAATGTGGTCTAAGTTAGTTAGACATTTCTATACCTCTACCATTACCAATAATAATCTGAATTGGATAATTACATGTTGTTCTTTCCTCAAGACCTCCGCCTGCTTCAAGGCACAGGAAAGACCATACTCACCAAAATATAGGGCTTTATCACGTTTTCTGAGTAGCAGTTTCCCAGTAGATGAGGGAATCCAGCCCCCTCCCTGCCTCTTCTTTCTCTCCTACCTCAGCCACTTCCCAACTGCAGTTGGGGGAAAATACTGACTGGGCCCACTCAGCAACCTTGCTTTTCTTTGAAAACTCGTTAATTGAT